GAAGCAGGTTGTCGGGCGGCCGCCATTTTGTCCCAGCTCCCAATGGGAGAGGGGAGAAAATGGCGCCTGCGTTCAGGTTGCCAGTGCACAGCCCAGGGACACATGGACCGCCCTCCTCCCCCAAAATGAGCAAAAAGTAGACGTACTTTAAACACAACAGTAACAGAATTGGAAGGGACCTTGGAGATCATCTTGTCCAACCTTCTGCTCACGCAGGAGACCTGTACTAGGGATTCGAACCGCCGGACTGCTGACCTTTCTGATCTTAGCCAGTGAGCCACATGTGATGGGTGATGGATGTTTTGGGAAGGGGCCCAAACACTGCAGGCTCCAGGCAGGGTGGGATTGGAAGAAAGGGGGAATGCCCTGCAGCGTCCTGAGGTTGGGTTGTATGGGTGAATGGCTGCAGGGATGTTGCAGGCAGCCATTGTAATTTTGAAACAGTGTTGTTGGTTATTTTGGGGTGTCGCAACTTCGAACTTTCATTTAAGTGACCTGTCGTATATCCAAGACAACCTGTATCGTCTCTATATTTAATTTGCCCATTCTTTTTATACTTGATTCCATCATTTCCATTTATATACTTTCTTTGTATTAAGCTTTTCCATCGGTCTTTTAAAAATCATAAATACATTCCATTTGTTAATGGTTTCATAGGAATTTCTATTGTGTTATTAAGGCAGTGTGTGAAACGTAATGTGAAAAATGTGGGATATTTGTCCCTTTTTACCTTTATTTTTACAGGACGCCTGCCCCTTGCAGTGAGTTATCTTTGCATCCTTTTATTTAATTCAGTGTTCCTTACCTTCTGCAACTTTAATATATGTAGATTTCAGCTCTCAAAATCCCCCCATTAGCATATTCTCTAATTGGATTCAAAACTTACCATTGTGTAGTATTGCTTTCTTGGCCACTATAATTATTGGTTTAAATATCCCCCCACTTTTTTTTTTTGAAACTGAAATTAATTCCAGAGAGTCTTAGCTGTTAGCTATCCGTTTCCAAGCTTAGCAAACAGAACATCTGGATATAAATACTGTGGGGGGGGGGGAAGACACCCCTAACACACTTCAGTGTGTGTGTGTCTGTGTGTGTTCCAGCATAACTGTGGAACTCCTGGGCCGCTGAAATGAAAAGGAATGAATTATATCTATAGTGTCAAATCACAGTACTTTTGACAGTGATAGTGTGCATTAGTGTGATAGTGTTAGAATACAGCCTGTTGTGCCTTAAGATGGCATCTACTGTACAGCACAGTTGCCATGGTAAATGGCTTCACAGTCCTCCACAAGGGGGTTCCAACCTAATACAGAATTAGGATGAATAAATACCTGGGCAACGCCAGGTTATCAGCTAGTTATTAAATAAATCACCATGTGTAAGATGCATATAGTTTGCTAATCGTAAATTAAGTAAATCTTAAATGATGGGAGAATGATGAAAGTTCAATATGTTACTCAAGATTGTCCTTAGGATACAATTATATCTGCCTGTGATAAGGGAATCTCTCATTTAGATTGCTTTTCTTGTCCAGGGCTGAACAGATTGCAAGTTGATTTCCAGCAGAATTCTGACCTGGTTGAGAAAAACATTTCAAATGTGTTTGCTTGTCTGAATCCATTTTTTTGTTACAGACATAACAGATTTATGATTACAAAACTCTATATTTTACAGATAGCTTTCGATGCATGACCACAATTTGAGCTAGAATTTCTGTTGCTAAGCGAGTTGGTTGTGAAGTGACTTATGCCTGATTTTATGAACTTTTTTTGCTATGGTTGTTAATCGAATCGCTCTAGTTGTTAAGTGTATCATGTCGTCCTTACGTCAATTAGGCTCCCCCTGATTGACTTTGGTTGTTGGAAGCCAGTTGGGGAGGTCGCAAATGGTGATCACATGTCCTTTTGACACTGCAGTTATCATAAATGCTGATTGCCAAGCCCTTGAATTTTGATCATGTGACCATGGAGATCCTTCTACAGTTGAAAGTGCAAGGATTGGTTGTCAATCACTTTTCCCCCCAGTGCTGTTGTAACATTGAACAGTTGCTAAGTGAATTGTTGTAAGTCAAGGACTACCTATAACCAGAGGAAGAAAATTTACATTTTGCATGTTTTCAGGGTAGTGATTTAAGACCTGATCAGCTGATGCAATAATGGGAATGAGTCAGCAAGTTTTTTAGCTGTTATCCCTTTAAGAGCCTGTATAATAAGAAGAGGCCCTGTTAGGGCGTCTCTTTCTCTCTTGCTATGTGTTCTTCCCTGCTGTAATTGCTGTTTGTTTGACCTCTTCCTATAATACATGTATGTATAGTATATATTCTTTTGTAGGATAAAACCATTATTTATTAAAAACCTCTGTTTGCTATTATTGCTCCTGGGTTGCCTCACGTAGTAAAGCTGTGCGCACTCTGACAAATGTGTGTATTGTAAATGTATTTACATCCCGATGTAAAGTCTATGTCTGAATGCACATGTCATATGCATGCCCATCCACCCTAAAAAATAGATGGACAAGGGTGTCTGCAGGTGTGATCAACACTGAGAGGCTTCAGTGGTGCAATCAAATGAAAGAATTATGAGATAAAATAAAAAAATTGGGATATGATCTGAGAGTGTAGGTCAAATCCAGGACAGGAGATATTAAGTAAGATGGTTGGGGAGGTTCCTTTCATTAGATGAAGGTGAAACACCTTAAAACTGTACTTTGTCAATGCTGCTTCCTAAGCCTGCAAACTGCACATTTTTTTTTCACTCCATAGAAGCATCAATGGAGACCTGCTGTTCCCGTGGATATGAATGGGCAAGTCAAAAGAAAGACTGTAGGTTTCTCTCTTCAGATCGGGATTCCAAGGAATGCAGGTAGAGGACAAAGTGTTTAATGTAGTTGCATCATCCAGTTATATATTTATTTTTCTCGCCTATATTGTTTCGATAAATAACTCAAGGCAGTGAACATACCTGATATGCCTCCTAGTGTTTTGACCTAGGCCTCCCAAGAGCATGAAACAATTCCTTATCCTGACAAAAAACCCTTTTATTAATTTATTGTGAATTCTGCTCATTTACATCTAGCAAAGTCTTTCAAGGGAGGATTTACAGTCACAGATCTGGCTTGGAGAGCTGCGAGGCTGATATCTGCAAAACTTGGCAAGGAGCCTCGGAGAGTCACAAACCAATTAATAAAAGGGTTTTTTGTCAGGATAAGGAATTGTTTCATGCTCTTGGGAGGCCTAGGTCAAAACACTAG